CCCTGGGGCCATGGTGCCTCGGGGCCGGCCTTGGATCACGTGGCCACAGCAGCAGTGTCTCCGGCCTCCGGGACTGTTTGGCCACAGCAACAGGGCCTCCCTCTGGGGCTACTGGGACCTCATGGCTGCAGCCATTGCTGCAAGGGAGCATGAAGCTAGGTAAGGTTCCCCCTCATGTCCAGACCTCCCCACCCCACCCAAGTCCTGTCATTTCTCTCCCCTACCAATACCTAGCACCCGCAGCTTGCTCCGAAACCCTTCTTTGTTCTTTCACCCTCTGTCCTGACCAGGCACTGCACCCTCCCTTGTTCCTGCTTCCTCTACCTGGCCAGACACTCTACTCCCAGCCTGCTTCTGCACCCCACCTCCCTCCCAGATCCTGCACCCCATCCCTATCCTAGTTGCTGGCAGTCATGTCTCACACACTATAACCCTCATTTTTGTTCCTATCCTAGAGCCTAAGGAGGTCCATAAAATCCACAAACTCCAGAACCCCGGAAAAGTAAATCTGATCTATAGGAAGCCCTGAACCTCAGTTTCCCCCTTTCCTTCCCCTCACCCCGTGAAGTTGTGGCACTAGAGGAGTGAGGTGTCTCAGTTGGGGCCACATCAGTGAGAGTTGGGGGGTTGTGGAGGAGTTTTTTTGCTTCTCACTTGTGTGCTCCAGGGGGGCATAAGGATCTTGTGGAAAACGGGGATTTTTTGCAAAAAAAACCCCTTCCATACTACTATTTTTCCTGCAAAAACCCTTTGCGCAAAAATGGCTTACATAAATTATGCAAATGAGTCATGACCATATGGTAATCTGTACCTCATTTGCATATTCACTGCCGGCAAAACTAGCAGTGTAGGCGAAGCTCCTATGCCAAATGGTGTGACACGGAGTCCAATAACACAAGAAAAACCATTTCCTGCTGTGTGTGAAAACTGTCCTGTGGAAAAAGTGGTGAGAGAGAACAGGTAATTGAAGACTATACCATAATGCATATGCACAAGGGAGTCAGATTAAGGTTGTATGGACAGCCCTAATCCTAGAATATCCGAACTTTTGAGCACCTAACTCTGCAACCTTAATTTTTTGGCTTTGTGTGTGTGTGTGTGTGTGTGTGTGTGTGTGTGTGTGTGTGTGTGTAAAGAAAGAAAACATTAATTTTAATCTACTGTATATTTGAGAGTTTGTGCATCTGTCTTTGTCTTTCTATGTGTCCTTCTGTCTGTTAGTCCATTTGTTCAAGAATTCCTCCTAAACAGTAAGAGTTAGGACCACCAGATTCGGTATACAGCTGCTTAATATCATAACTTAAAGCACACCCCTGTTCTGAGCTCCCCGACACCTAACTTCCTGTCCTGCCTCCTATATGTACCATATTTCTGCCCTGAGTCCCTTACCCCCCTCCAACCCTGACTTCTGCAAAACCCCACACCTCCAGCTCCCTTCTCTGAAGGACCCACACAACACTGGGTAAATCTAGTACTAACTAGAGCAGAGAGCTATTATCTAAACCTAATACCAAAAAAATTGACTCAGCTCCAAAGCATATTCCCCCTTGGGCATTGAAAGGTTGCACCTCTATAAACCAGAACTTTCTGGTCTGGCAACATTGTACCACAGATGTTCCCGAATCGGAGAGCCCCGGTGCGGCGGGGCGGGGTGGGGGGAGAAAGCCCGGTGTGATATGGTGGAGGTTGGGATGTGGCTCAGCTGAACTGCATGGGAGAAAGGTCAGGAGCCAGGAAGCTGGGTATATAGCTCAGCTTGACTGGGGGTGGGCAGTAGGTTCAGCTGGGCTACATGAGGAGAGGGGTGGGCAGGAAGCCCAACACACAACCCAGGTGGGCTGCTCAGGGGTACCAGGAAGCTCACTCGGGGGAGCAGAGCAGGGGGTGGGGCCGGCAGCAAGGGGGCCAGAAATTACCTCCCCTTGTCCAGCAAAATCCCTCATCTGGGACTAGTCAGATCCCGAGGGTTCTGGACCAGAGAGATCCAACTTGTATTATCTTGTGACTTTTAAGGTTAAATACTGTAATATTTTCCTTTTAGTCCCTCTGTAATACAATATATTTCACTATATTGAATATTTTATTTGTTGTAGTTTATGTGTGCCAATTGTATGTGTTCATAACACTGCAGGAAGGCCTATAATATACCTGCTTAAAATGTTTTTCCTTCTTTCAAGCAGAATGATGAAGTTGCAGAAGCTAAAATGCTCACCTCCTATGACACTAGTGCAAAAAGAAAGAAAGAAACCACAAGTCTGTATACACGGATTATGTTTATTCAATTAAGGTAGAATAACTAAATTCACTGTGTGTTTTTCCATTTAAATCAGTACAGTGTGTCCAGATTAGCACCTTGAAATTACTCTTAATCCTAGTTTCAGTTACACTTGCAATTGTACCACAGAACTTTGGTGCATGTATATAAACTAAAAATATTGTTTAAAAAGAACTACAGCTGGGTAGTCCTTGAGCCGTATGTGGGATTCTAACGCAGTTGTCTCTGGCAGGAACATTTCTTCAACATTTTTATTTTTAGAAAACAGCAGCCAACCCAAACAGAAAAATTCACTTAATGAGACACACATCCAAAGGGCCTTACTTCTCAGGATCCCTCAGGAGTATTAAACCTAATGCCTTTGTAAAAAAGCCTTGTGTCTTTTACGTCATTTAACTCACTAAGGGTATGTCTACACTACAAAGTTAATTCGAACTAACAGCCGTTATTTTGAATTAACTTTAATAGGCGATACACATGCAAATTGCTA